TGGATGCACAAAAGTAACTTTATGAAAGGTGTAAGCAAAAAAGAAATGTTTGAAAAATGTAATATTGACTTAAAAGGATAAATGAGAAAAATAAATAGAAGCTATTTCAACCTAGGTGACATCCCTGAAATTCATTGTCCATTTTGAAAATTATAGGAAAATAATTTCTTTCATCCATAAGGGTAAGTGTTCATGGATTTATAAGCTTATAAACAAAGAATTAATATATATGTTTTAGTTAGAAATTAAGTTTTAAGGTGTATTGGCCTTCATGAGGTTCTCTAAAAAGGTTCCCTTGGATTTTTGGCCAGAAAAAGTTTGGCTTCTGTCTGTGTAATCTGGCATTAAGTAAAAATTTAGGCCCAGCCACCATGGCACATGCCTGTTAACAGTGCTACTCAACAGGCTAATGGGGGGGGAGGATTTGATTTCTACTCACCCTAACACTGGGTGATGCATGCCTGTAATCTCAGATACTTGTGAGGGTAAGACAAAATAATGACATGGGAAGAGCCTATCCAAAAGAAAAATTAATTAAATCTTTAGAGTTGATGATCCTACTTATAACCAAGACCCCTCTACCAATTTAGACATTTACTGTATGTTCCATCTATTGGCTTTTAAAATTTTACTAAGAAATAATGTTCCTTGTGAAAACAAATTAGAGGTTAAAGAAGCAAAGAATTGCAAAACAATGCAAGCGAGAAAGTGTTTATTTGCATATTAGCAAATGGAAATTTAGCTTTCACATTAGCATTAGCTAGAAAATATTCCAGCCTAAGCAAGAACACACAGTGTGTGAAGAGACATATATTTGTTCTGTTTAAGGAATAATAATGTTATCCATAAAGATGGATTTAAACTTATTCCCTATAGTGTCCTAGCTTGACTTTGGTTACAGAAGTTAAGAGAAATGGAAACCTTGGGACCAGCAGTTGGTGTAATAGCTATGTCACTGGACTCTCATGAAGTCTACTTCAGTTCAAGTCCTGGACTCGGTGGCTTAAACTCACACTGGGCATGTATGCGTGCATGCCCAAGATCCTGAGAGAAGAATTGAGGAGAAGGAATTGTGGCATGGCCATCCCTCTGGAGGGTGATTTCGCTTTCTGTCTCTCTGTGTCTTTCTGGTGAGAGCATGCACCCTATCGCAAAACCTCTCAAAAAAAAAAAAGAGAAAGAAATGGAAACATTAAAACACATTCAGAACTAAAATTTAAGCTCAGATATTAAAAAAAAATTATCTGTATTATTTATTTATTTTATTTTATGATTTTATATTTACATTTAATTGTTGTTCATCTTTATAGCATTCAAAATGGTGTTTCAAAACATGTGTGCAGTACCAGTACAGCCACTGTGGAGAACAATATGGAGGTTTCTCAAAGATCTGAAAATAGAACTACCATTTGATCCAGAAAAATCCCACTCCTGGGTATCTACCCAAAAGAACAGGAGAACGCTCAGTCGGAAAAGTGCTTGGACATCAATGTTTATTGCAGCGTTATTCATGATTACCAAGACATGGAACCAATTTAAATGTCCACAGACTGATGAATGGATTGGAAAAGTGTGGCATATATACTCTATGGAGTATTACTCAGTCATAAAAAATAACAAGACCCTGGCATTTGATAGAAAGAGGTCAGATATGGAGGATCTATTACTGAGTGAAGTAAGCCAGGCAATAAAAGAAAGATATTGTATATATCCACTTAATATATACCAACTATCTGCACTCTATGGTAGAGAGCAAAATATTGGAGGACATAAAAGCAGTGAAAATACTTAACGAGGATAAGACAATGTGGAATGGTGGGGTTGAAGAGAAGAGGATAGAGAAAGATAGCAAGAGAACAGAGAGGCATGACATTAGTGGGAAACAGATATGGCTTATTACCTGTTGATGATGACGTGTATAGTATTCTCAACTGGATTGGTCTGAGAAGCATTTCATGATGGGTAACATCTTTTTAAAAGCAAAATGAGAAATAGTGATTGACTGGTTAAAAAGAATAATTGAAATAATAATAATAATGATCGGAGAAAAAAAAGAAAAGATATTGAATGATGAAGTGGGGATTTTAATGTCTCTGTGTTGACTGACATGCATGGCATTCCCTTTTGAAAAAGCAATGTAATACACTGTAAAGTTATATGCGATTCAATGTAATATAAACAAGATTATGATGATAATAAATAAAAACATTAAAAAATGAAGATGTAAAGAAAAGTGTGCAGTGTGTGACAATTAAATAAAAAAATACTAGTGAAGGAATTTTCTTTTCAATCTTTATTTTTGTAGGTCTTTTCAAATTGCATAGGCCATATACATTTTTTAAAGTTCTATTTTTTTAAATTTTACAATTTACTATTCGTAATAATTGTAATTCTATAGCATACAATATAATTTTTCAAAGCATGCAAACAGTATGTGACAAAACAAGGATATCACCACATATATCATCCTCAGCAGAGAATCTTACATTCACAAATCTGATTGAATGTATAAATGAAATTGATATAAAATATATTAAAAAAAAGAGAACAGGCATGTTATGTAGAATGACCAAATCAGAATAGTAAGTATGTTCTTTATCTGAAACATTTATTCTTTGTTTTGAAAGCATTCACAATCTTTTTTCCTAGCTATTTTGATACATTATTACCATATGTAGTTGCCCCATAGTATTATTAAACACTGGAATCAGTCCTCTTACCTAGCTGTAAATTTATATTCACAAGCCAGTTTCTTTAATTCTCCCCTCCACCATCCCCTTCCCACCTTTTAGAAATGACTACACTATCTTTTTCAAAGATCAACTTTTTTAGCTCACAGATATGGGAGAACATATGCTATTTGTCTTTCTGTGTCTGGCTTAATTCAGATAACATAAAGTGCTCCAGACTCATCAATATTGCTACAAATGACAGGGTTTCAGCTTTTTTATGTGGTTGAATAGTATTCCATTGGGTATATATGCCACATTTTAAAAAATACATTCATTTGCTGATGGACATTTAGCCAGATTCTCATATATTGGCTCTTGTGAATGTTCTGTAATAAACGTGGGAGTGCTCATAAATCTTCAACAAAGTGATTTTGAGTGATTTTGATAGGAAATTTTGGATTCTTCCCGTGTAGACTGGGTTTAAAAAATTAAATCCATAGTGGAGATAATTCTACATATGATCATGGTTAATTTAACAACTTAGACATTCACTGTGTGTTCTACACATTGGCTTATAAAAATTTTTAAGAGAGATTTTTGGTATAGCACATGTGTGTTCGTTCACCATAGAGACAGAGAGACAGAAAGCACGAAATCACACCCCAGGGGATGGCCTTGTTGCAATCCCTTCTCCTCCATTCTCCTCTGGGAATCTTGGGCAAGCACATACACACGCCCAGCATGAGTTTTAAGCAGATGGGACTGAGACTACAACCATGGTGGACAATGTGGAAGTCCAATGAAGTAACTATTATAGCATCTGCTGATCCCTGGCTTATAAAATTACCCTAATGACTAAGATTGCTAAACACAATTCTTGGAAGGCTAAACAAGGAAAAACTGCAAAACAAGGAAAGAGAATATGTCTTTATTTGCATGCTTGCAAATAAAGATTTAGCTCTCGTTTTGAGATCAGGTAAGAAATATTCTGCTTATGAGCAGGCCATACAGGGTATGGATAGGAGCTAATCTGAGCTACATTGGCAATAACAATGTTTTCCATAAAGATGACTTTCATTAGCATGTTGTGGTGCTTTCCTGTTTGTAATTGGTTATAGAATTTAAAAGAAACAAGAATGTTAGGGCACACTCAGAAATCTGATTTACATTGAAGTTAAGGTCAAGATAAAAAAGAATCACAACTAGTTATATTAACTTTTCTTTTTTTTTTTTTTTTGCTTTCTTTCATTTATTTATTTTGAGTGTTTTGATCAGGAATGATTAGTTTACTACCAATCATTTATTCCATGGCAGTAATGGTACAATTTCTTCTTGGAAATTTTGCCAATAGCTTCATAGCACTGGTGAACTTCATTGACTGGGTCAAGAATCAAAAGATCTCCTTAGCTGATCGAATTCTCACTGCTCTGGCAGTATCCAGAATTGGCTTGCTCTGGGTAATATTGATCAACTGGTTTGCAACTGTGTTTAATAGAGATTGCTATAATATAAGAATTTTTGTTTTTGTTTCTTGGGCAGTGACCAACCATTTTAGCTTCTGGCTTGCTACTATCCTCAGTATATTTTATTTACTCAAGATTGCCAATTTCTCTTACACATTGGCTTATAAAAATTTTTAAGAGAGATTTTTGGTATAGCACATGTGTGTTCGTTCACCATAGAGACAGAGAGACAGAAAGCACGAAATCACACCCCAGGGGATGGCCTTGTTGCAATCCCTTCTTCTCCATTCTCCTCTGGGAATCTTGGGCAAGCACATACACACGCCCAGCATGAGTTTTAAGCAGATGGGACTGAGACTACAACCATGGTGGACAATGTGGAAGTCCAATGAAGTAACTATTATAGCATCTGCTGATCCCTGGCTTATAAAATTACCCTAATGACTAAGATTGCTAAACACAATTCTTGGAAGGCTAAACAAGGAAAAACTGCAAAACAAGGAAAGAGAATATGTCTTTATTTGCATGCTTGCAAATAAAGATTTAGCTCTCGTTTTGAGATCAGGTAAGAAATATTCTGCTTATGAGCAGGCCATACAGGGTATGGATAGGAGCTAATCTGAGCTACATTGGCAATAACAATGTTTTCCATAAAGATGACTTTCATTAGCATGTTGTGGTGCTTTCCTGTTTGTAATTGGTTATAGAATTTAAAAGAAACAAGAATGTTAGGGCACACTCAGAAATCTGATTTACATTGAAGTTAAGGTCAAGATAAAAAAGAATCACAACTAGTTATATTAACTTTTCTTTTTTTTTTTTTTTGCTTTCTTTCATTTATTTATTTTGAGTGTTTTGATCAGGAATGATTAGTTTACTACCAATCATTTATTCCATGGCAGTAATGGTACAATTTCTTCTTGGAAATTTTGCCAATAGCTTCATAGCACTGGTGAACTTCATTGACTGGGTCAAGAATCAAAAGATCTCCTTAGCTGATCGAATTCTCACTGCTCTGGCAGTATCCAGAATTGGCTTGCTCTGGGTAATATTGATCAACTGGTTTGCAACTGTGTTTAATAGAGATTGCTATAATATAAGAATTTTTGTTTTTGTTTCTTGGGCAGTGACCAACCATTTTAGCTTCTGGCTTGCTACTATCCTCAGTATATTTTATTTACTCAAGATTGCCAATTTCTCTAACTATATTTTTCTTCGTTTAAAGAGGAGAGTTAAGAATGTAATTCTGCTGATATTGTTGGGGTCTTTGGTCTTTCTGCTTTGTCATTTTGTGGTGGGATCTATGAATGCGAGTATGCAGTCAAGACAACATGAAGGAAATGTGACTTGCAATACTCAACTAAGGAATATGATGCACCTTTCAAGTATGATCGCCCTCACGCTAGAAATCCTCATGCCCTTTACTGTGTCTCTGATATCTTTTCTGTTGTTAATCTATTCCTTGTGTAAACATCTCAAGAAGATGCAGTTCCAAGGCAAAGGATGTAAAGATACCAGCACCAAAGTCCACATCAAAGCTTTGCAAACTGTGATCTCCTTTCTCTTGCTTTTTGCAATTTTCTTTTTGTGTCTAGTCACATCATTTTGGAATTCTGATGAACTGTCACAGAGACCAATCCTCATGCTTTGCCAGGTTGTTGGAATCTCTTATCCTTCTAGCCACTCATTTTTCCTCATTTGGGGAAACAGAAAACTGAAACAGATCTTTCTTACAGTTTTGCGGCAGTCAAGGTACTGGCTGAAAGGACGGAAGCTTTCAATGCCGTAGATTAATAATGGGGGCATCATGCATCTTCTTCCAGAAAATGAATTCATGGAGTATAATATTTTCTGCTTCCTTCCAGTTGCTCCATAGTGTATGTATTTGGGCAGTTTCCATCAGTGTTTATAGAAAAGTCTTTTATCTAAATTTTTTTTTAAAAAGTACATGTGTGTGTGTGTATCTGCATATGTTTGTGTGTATGAAAAACATTGGAAATGTTGACAGTGAAAGATTCCTAATCAATTTTTTTACATAAACTACCCAATTACTCAAAATATAGTAATAAATGCCTTAAAATTATGAAGCTATGTTTGTTTCAGATACATGTGTGTTATCTTTTACCAATCAAAAAATTTATAATTTTTATTTATACATTATTAAGAGCCGACAGTTTATTTAAGAATAACATTGCTATTTATCTTTATGATTTCTATCATATAAATGTACTACAGTGTATTTTGATGTTATTATTTGAACCTCCAATCACATGGATAGTATGAACATTCAATTCTAAATCAATAATGATGACGTGTCTTTGGGATAGGTTTCATTCTATCATTAGTTCTATTTCATGTTTAGTAGAGAGAAAACAAAACTAATATTAGTAGAGAGAAAACAGAATTAATATTAGAAAAAGAAAAAAATTGTAGCATGACAAACATATCTAGACTAATTTTGTATATTGTACCATCAACAGTCCAGAGTAATATTAGGGATAATGCAAATATGTAAATAGCTTTAAAAACAGTGTACTTTGTACATAAAGATAGAGAATTAAAAAAAAAAGATCATGATCTATTCTCAGTGTTTGGATAAGTTTCTGTATTCAGTTAGTATATTAATTTCTTCCAGTTTTTGTACTTTTTACTCAAATCCAGGAGTCTTTTTGAGGCTCACACAGGAATGTGAACTTGCATTACCACTGCCACACAAGAACTAGACTGTTCTTTTTACATAAATGTCATTTTTGCAAAAACTGTTATTTTTACAAAATATTTGTTTCAGTGTCTTTTAAAATTTAATGCTAGAGGCACATGAACATGCATTGTGAACTTCCCCCAATACTTTCCAACCCAGATTATGGGCACACCTAGGGTGTAGATAGAGGCCACAAGACATGAACCTCCTGGGACCTTCCCAATTGTGTGCAGTAGCCTTACTGCTGTGCCATTGTCTGGCACCCATCTTTTTTTTTTTTTTCTGGAGAGGTTTTTGCTATAGGGCTCGTGCACTTGCCAGACAGACAGAGAGAGACAGAGAGATAGAAAGTGAGAAATCACCCCCCAGGGGGAATGGCTATGCCACAATCCCTTCTCTTCCATTCTCCTCTCGGTATCTTGGGCACACACGCACACGTGCCTGGCGTGAGTTTAAGTCACCAGGTCCGGGACTCGAACTGCAGTTGACTACATGGGAATCCAATGACATAGCCATTATGCTAACTGCCGGTCCCTCTGGCACCCATCTTGAATATTCTGCAGGATTTTTCAGATTCTTTATCAAGAGAATTTAGACCTCCTTGTAATGACTTAACTTTGATCTGGTTCTCTGAATAGGCTCAATTCTAAGAACTGTGTGAGGATCTTAGATTTTCCACTTCAAAGGCAGTCCTCCAGAATTAACTTCCCCCTCACTTTCTGCCTCATTTTTTAGAAATTATCTACGTTGCCATTTTTGCCTTGTACAGAGGAGTTCCCTTTCCTAAAAGTTATTATTTTGATGAAAACCTAAAGAATGTCTATTCAGACTGCAAAGGTACAATGTTGGAGAATCTGAAAAGTTCTTCTGGGGTGAGTGTCCCTTACTGGAGTCCTGAGCTCTGTCTCCTTTCTAATACCCTGAGATTTCAGGCTCAGTCCCCACAACCCCACCCCACCCCATGGAATTTCCACTTCTCTTCATCTTCTTTCCCAAATTGGTATTTATTAATGCCTTTGCATGGAAGCTATGTTTGTGCTTCTCGTCTTAGGACTATTTCCTTAAAACTTTTCCAAGTTAATCAATTCCACCTTCTCAGTGTGTTTCATTCCTAATGATAGGTCATCTGTGAGAATGTTCATGACATCTCAATTTCACTTTCTTTATTCAGTATTGCTTCAAAAGTAAGGATAGGTTAGCCCTCTGTATGTGCCTACTAGCTTCTGCCATTTTTACAGTTTCTTACACATATTTTTCTGTTGTCTTTGGAAGCAGTTGTTGAGTTTATTTTTTAGGTCCACGGCTTGCTCTTTAGCTATTGAGGAGGAACTGTTGTATTGGACTGGTCCTTCCCACATCCTGAGCAGGTGACAAATCATCCTGTGTCCACTCTGCTGCCTGCCATGAAGGTCAGGGAGCAGAAGTGCTGGCAGAGTGAGGGCATGTGGGCATGATGGTATTTGGTGCAGATGGAAGAATGTGCCCTATTGGGCAGAGGAGAAGAGGAGAAGAGCAGAGTAGGAATGTATGCAGCTCTGTGGATGAACTCATAAAGAGAAATCAAGAGACTGATTTGTGGAACAACAGACAGATTTCCACTTCTTTTCACCTGCACAGAGAAAATACTGCAAAAATTTACCCAATATTTGCTTCTAACATTATATGTAAAACATATAGGCATTTTTAACACAATGTCTTTACAACTATCATAGTAGTAAGCATCATATAGATGTATAATAGACGTTGAAGACATGAAATGTTTGAGTTACTTTTAGTAAAAAGTAAGAGTTTTTTTTAAATCCTAGTAAGTGTGTGTGTGTGTGTATGCATGCACTTCTGAAAAGTAAAATGATATGTGATTGTTAATCTCATATTTCAGGATGTTAGGAATTATGACATCCATAAAAGTATTAGAAAACTCTGATTCTTTATAGGAAGAGCATGGGAAAATGCTAGAATGGTCTTTATACAAACCTACTTAAAAAAAAAAAAGCAAGTGTGTTCACTTTTTCTTCCTCTTTCTCATATTCTTTCCTTCCTTTTCTTTTTGCTTCTTCCTTCTCACTATAAATAAATAAATTATGGTATGATGTAAAAAGTGATGACATGATGTGTGAGTAAAATATGAAATAATTAGATGAAGATAAATACCATATCTGTTGCCTCAAGAACTTGTCATTTTTTGTTGTGATATCATTCGAAATATGCTATGTTAGAAATTTTGAAATAAGTAACATATCATCATTAACCATGCTTTGCATATTTTTCTATAGATCTCACACATGAAAACCAAAACTAATCAAAACAAAATCAATTCTCTTGTCTAATTGAGGCTTCACAGTCTTTGGCCATCATTTCTCTGTTCCCCCTACCGGTAGCTTTGATGTGTTAAAAAAACTTTGGTACTCAGTACTTTTCACATATACTAATTTAGACACTTGTTGCCTAGTATGTGTGCTAGAATCTTGTAATGCCACTTGCCAGGAAATCAAGTTGCCGGAGTCAAATAAATAAATACGGCAAGAAAAACAATATGATAAAAATAATATTTCTTTTTTTTTTTTTCATATCAGCAAATGAGAGTTCAGTGTTTCTATCATCACCAACTACAAGAGACTCCAACCTCCCCTGTTTAAGGTGTACAGTATCTAGGTGAGGCTACACAGAGTTGTCTGGGGAAATAAAAAGGGTTTCATAAAGAAAGCTGTGAACCCCATTACTAGCAAATGTTGATCTTTGCTAGTTCCTTAATGTGCTCCTAAACTTTTATAGAGTATATTGCTGAATTTTCAGGAATTAGATGTGCAGAGCATTTTAGGTAGAAGTGTTAAGAAATCTTCAGTAGAGATATTTAACTTTGGGGTTATCTCTTACAGACAATGGGTTATATCATAGAGAGTACACTTAACAATCGTGAGCATGGAATTCATGATTGGTGAACACACATGCCTATAGCAAAATAAAAGATCAAAAAGTGGGGACACAAAAACTGAAGTGGGGACCCCTCAGATCCATGGATCTCTTTGAGGATCGCCTTGCACATTACAGAGGAAAATCAGTTTATTAAATTTTCTGTTATTAGTATAAATGTCTTCAATATGTGTTCATTTTGCACATATATAGATATCCATTAAAAATGAAGTTTTAATATTTATGTGACAGTCTTTATGCTTCATAAGTTTCATACATTTTTCTTGAGAACAAACAGAGCTGAGATGGTAGAGACTTACCCAGAGTGAATAAGGAACTAGCAAAAGCTAGATTAATGGCTCTCTGATTAGTGGAGCTTATTCCCAAATACCAAGGAAACATCACCAGAAATAGGCTGCTCACCACCGTATTTGGGTGCAGATAATTTTCCATTTTTGTGTCCATTAAAAGTTTTACTTCTTTCTTTTTCCCCTTGATTGTTTTTTTCTCACCCTCCTCCCACACTGTCTCCACTATCCACAATTATTCTCCATGCATGCTGTTTTGATTATCATAATTTTGTAATATAACTTGGGGGTCAGGGAGTAAGATGCTTCCTACTCTACTCTTCTCACACAGTATTGCTTTGGCAATACAGGGTCTTTTATGATGCCAGACAAATTCCATGATTGTTTTTTCTAAATCTGTAAAGAATATCTCTGGTGACTTGACTGGAATTGCACTAAATTTCTCAATTAATTTGGGTATGATTATATTAAGTGTTCCAATCCAGGAACATGTGATGTCTTTCCATTTTTGCTTTATTTTCAATTTCTTTTTTGAGTTTTTCATAGTTCTCCATGTAGAGGTCCTTGACTTCTTTGGTTAAGTTTATTCCTAGATATCTTATTTATTTTGTGGCTATTGTAAATGCAATTGCTTTCTACAGTTTCACCTCAGCCTGTTAACTGTTGGTGTATAGAAATACTATAGGTTTGTTTTAGGTTTTTTTTAAGGGATTTTTACTATAGGGTGCATGCACTCCCCAAAAAGACAGAGAAAGACAGAGAGATGGAAAGTGAGAAATCATCCCCTAGAAGGGATGGTCACGCCACAATTGCTTCTCCTCCATTCTCCTCTTGGGATCTTGGGAACACATGTACATGTACCTGGCATGA